GATCTTTAAAGACAGGCCAGCCTCAGAGACTAATTCTCCCTGTCTTCTTTCTGTGATGTTCTACAAAGACGGTTTCTTTTCAGTGCAGATCTCTTTTTTCCTTGGCCTCTCCATACCTCCACGCTTTAAAAACAGGAAACAGGAAAAAAATTCTTGCACAGTAATTAGTTTTCATTTATTTTTTGTTTTGAAGCAGATAAAAAGAGGAGACAGAGAGGTCTAATTGAATGATACATTCTCTTCGCACACGCTGACCTAGGCTTTTGACAGGCTTGCCAGCTCTATTTGAATGAAAGTCTGAGTTTTGACTGCGTGGTTGGGGGATGAAGGTGATGTTAAAAGCTGAATGCATTTGCAAGGCAGTTTAGTGTCTGTGTATGCACCACACTCGTGTTTCTCTGGCATGTGTGTTGTATTCATCGCCGTTTGTTTTAACTGTTCTTTGAGGGATTAGTGAACAGTGTTTGGAGCATGCAAAGGATTATACCGGGCAGGTAGCAAATTCCCCTCCCAGTCTTTCTCTTTCTCCTCTCTTTCTTTCTGTCCCTCTCTTTTTTCCCTTCATTCTCTCCACAACACTCTGGTGTCCCTTGTCTTTCCCTGTGTGGGCAGTTGCGAGCCCTACTTCTGTCTCTTTTGTACAGAATTAAACAATGCAGTGCTCTGTCATTCTCAGACCAGCTTCCACTATCTTACACTGGATCCCATCGAATGAGTCAGTGTGTGTGAGAGAGCATGTGCATAGGGAAGGGAGGATGGGTGGGGGTGGGGAGAAAATGACGAATGAGTAAGTATGAGAGTGAATGAGTATCTAAATATGTAAGTGACAAATATACCCACAAATAAGTGTTTATTAAGTGTGTACATATACATACCACATGTGGGTGTGTTCATGTGTGTGTTTGTGTTCCTGTATGTGAGAGATGAAGAGGATACAGACAGGCACACACCCTTCTTTGTACAATACCCTGTTTCTGTAACCATAACAACCCCTACACTGCTAGTTGGGTGGGACGTCACCATATACTCCAGGACAGGCTGCAAATAAATGTGACCATCCCAGTTTGTCTCACATTCACATTAAGGGACCCATAAAGTACGAGAGCCAATCAGGCATGGAAGTAAGGTCAGCGGGGCTGACAGTATGTAAAGAGTGCAGAGGCACAGAGCGCTACACTTGGTCTCTGACCCATCGTTACCTCTTCCTTCATAAGCAATGCAGTCTTCCAAAGCATGCCTGTTAGCTCTGTGCAGTGTGATCTCCAAGTTTTGATTTGTAGTAGGGCCTAATAGGACCAGTGCACAAGCCACATTCATCAGTAGTTTCTTAAACTACACTATTCTGGTATGGAGCCTCTGATTGATAAGTATAGCTTTGTTGATCTATCCAGAAAATCAGCTGTCTCACATCTCAGACCACCCCCCTCCCCACACGCACGCAGTACACCTCTCTGTCACCTGCTCCTCCTGGGGCATTAGTGGAATCCATCCCATCAACAGAACCTCCACCTGCAGATGCTCTATTGTAACCTTTCTTTGGTTTGTCTCCTCAGGTCATGCTATGATTGTCTTTTAACGCAGGTACTGTTCCCTTTGTTTTGCTTCTTGAATTGATCTTATCAGTAATTGCTTGTCAAAAGCTGTTTCTTTGGCAAGCAGACATATTTTGCTGTTGTTACACGGAAATATGCCTGCTTCCTCTATTAATATTTCCAGCACTATTGATAGAAGTTTTTCCTTCCTCTGGATGTGTTTGCTTTTTCACTGGTCATATTTGTTGTGAGGTCAAGGACACAGACCACAATTTGTTGTGAGAGGTGGCTAAGTAAAGTGCAAAGAGAGGTATTTCTGTGGGTAATCTGTGGTTGGTGGACTTTGCCTGATTATTATATTATATTATATTATATTATATTATATTATATTATATTATATTATATTATATTATATTATATTATCATGTTCGGTCGGGAGTATAGACAGTAGGTATGTGAGTAATCTGTCCATAGAACCGACAGGTGAGCAAAGAGAGAAGCTGAAATTGTATTCCTGCAAAGCAGGTGCGCAAAGCTGGAGCTGGAGATGTCAATAAACCATCCCTCTGGAGATCCACTATATCACAGCACAGATTGCAGGAAATCTGAGTTGTGCCATTAACCAGAGAGGGAGAGAGCAAGAGAGAGAGAAAGAGGAAGGGGGGAGAAAGAGATAGAGGACTGGAGAGAGAGCGAGAGAGATGAGGAGAGGGGACAGTACCGGGATTGTTTCAACAGACTGACGGCCCTTTTACTTTTATCTTATCTTACCTAAGTTACTCTTACAGAAAGCCAACCTCACCCTTTCTCTCCTTCATTTGTCCTTTTCTCCAGTTTCTCCTCTTTTCCCCCGCCTGTCTGCCCTCCCTTCATTTCTTCTTTTTCCTCTCTGTTCATCATTCTCCTCTCTTTTTTCTCTCTCTCCCTCATGTTCCATTATTTCCTCCCATGTTTTTCGTTCTCTGCTTTTCTCTCCCATCTGAATGCTGCCTTTGTGCTGTAAAAATCACCTTTCCACACTCATTTATATCTGCTATTTGTATTCTCAATAATACAGCTATTAGGCTCAAATGCCCCCTGTAGAACAATGTGTTTTTCAAGAGGGTTTGTTGCACATCTGTATTACTTTTAAAGGTGCTGGTGTGTGCTTATATACTATTTTTAATGCAGCAGGTGCACGTGCATCCGTTTATGTGAATTTGCCTATGTCTTCGAGCGTGTGCACACACGTGTGTGAGCACACGTATGTGATGTATGAGCCTGTCAGTGAGCGTTTGCTTCCCTCGCTATAAAAGGATGAAAGGCAGGGAGGAGAAGAGATTAATAAGCAGATATGAAGGGGAAGGAGCTTGGATGGAGCGAGTAGCGCGGGGCTTTTTAGATGGTAAGGCATTTATTACCCAGACAGGGTCTTATCTGTCCTCGTCTGTGGGATTCACGCTTTGATGGGCCATGAGTTTGTGGTTAATATATTTTTGATTGATAAGCTGAAATGAGAGAGAGAGAGAGAGAGAGAGAGAGAGAGAGAAAGAGAGAGAGAGAGCAGAGGGATGAGGTGGGGGAGATGTTATGTGAAATAAAAAAAATAAAATACTACATGTCATGAAATAAGATACACGCGCACACACATGCTGACACCCATACAAATTCTAACACATACACACACATGTTCTCATAAAAGGCAACCTCAATTCATTTGCGTGGCCACATTGACACGCGTACGGAGTGTGAGGAGGAACCTATCAAACATGTATACGTGGAGCACAGAGATAAGGGCACAGCAGGAGATGAGACACAGCGTGCGCGCGCTGCGCTGGACACGCTACAATGCGGTCACCGCCATCCCCTCGCCTCTCGCCTGCTCCGTCGGTGGGGGTCGCGATTATCAAGGTCGAGGCACGGGGGGGCGATAACCGTGATACCCTGTGTCTGACCACCCCATTGAAGGAGGCAGGGAAATATTGAGTTATATTGCATCCTGCACCCGACCCGCTGATAATGTAAGCCACAACAGAAGTGTCAACAAGTGTGCGACTCCAAAGCACCCATGGGAAAGTGATTAAGGATGGATTACCAAATCTAGAGCAGCATCCTGTCAGTGAGTATCACAGTCATTTGTCAAGACTAGGGATACGCAAAATCAATGATGTCAGGTTTGCTGCCAGATACTGAATCCAGCACAAAAAAAAAGATTCAGCTTAACATGGAACCAAGTACCCAACCATAATATTTCTATGTGAATTATTCCCTAAAGCGAGTCTGTGATGTGTCTTGCATTGTGTATGCTGTCAAAGGCCTTGCATCAGAAGCCTGCACCCCTGAGTCTATAATCCCTTGTGAGGTTGTGCTGATCCAAGACCGAGAAGTCTGTTCTGATGTCCACACATGACGTGCAAATACTAATGTGGTTCATCGCTTTTTCATCCATGTCAGGTGCCATGGTGCAATGTAAAACTGATAGGATTAATGACCTCATTTAAAGTTGTCGCAGTTTGTGAAACTGATATCAACCACCATGTATACATCCATTACCATTGCCTTGCCGATAGCAGTATGGGTCTTTTCAGCTTGAGCACCCTCTGCTATCCTCTGCTGTTTTTCAGGATATCATGGAAAGAAAGACATTTCCATCTATTCCTTTCTATGTCTGACAGTTCTGTGGAATTTCTGCAGACTCATTGCTGACTGCTACCAATAATTGATATTTTAATGGGCTTTCCACCAGCTGTTCAAATTTTATTCTGTGCAGAATGCTTCAGACGCGGGTATTAGCACAACAGCGACATTGTGTTCCTTTTCCCTTCTTACCATGATGTGATAATCCTGCATTGCATTGAAGGGCATGTCTAAGATATTTATCGGAGAGTACACTGAGAGACTGTTTACTCTGATGTTACAGCGCAAATAGGATTGAAACAGGACTCACAAATGATAGGAAGCTCATTCCGACACATGGAACCCAGAGCATCCTGCGGGCGTGATGGGGATGTGTGACTATGCACACAGGCTCGGCGCCAGGAGAAAATACAGAGGGGTGCAGCTGCAATCCACAGGGGGGCACAAAAGGTCGTAAATACTATGTAGACATCAGGATATAAGGAGACAGCTGAGGATGCACTGAGGTCCGTCCCTAAACACTCCCATAGTGCCAGGCCTGTATGCACAGGAGGGACAGCTATGAGTCATAAAGTTGCAAGACACAGTCTAATGATCATTTGTAGATATGAAGCAGCTGCCAGCCAGCAGGCTAACACCAGCATTTTGAAATGTATGTGAATGGGGGGGTACATGCAGGAGCATGTTGGAGCATGAAGGCAACATTTACAAGGGATACTGAGATTTTTGGCCTTATGATATGAGCTACAATGAGCAACACCCATAACTGTGGCACAGAAATCTTGTCAGTATTCTTTCAGAAATGAATCCATCTTCTTCACTCTTTTTGTACAGTACACAATGCTTTGATACAGGGGGAACCAGAACTTGAACCTGAGACCTCTTGATCTGCCATCAAATGCTCTACCCCTGAGCTATACCCCTATTTACAGACTATTTATTGTGTACATATACATATGTATATATTATATACATATGTATATGTACTATGTATCCAAATAATGACACTGTAAAAGAAGAACCTCTGCAGAGATATTGGATTTCATAAGGCAGAGAGTAGAAGTAGGAGGGATGGAAAAGGTATTTTCCTCTGTTCATCCTGTTCATCCAACTCTTTCTCTATGGATTTATGGTACTTCCTGCTTCATTAAGGGAGACAAACAACTGTGGGCTGTGTGTTTTCTTCCCTGTGTCTGTCTGCCGTAATGCACGTGGTAATCCCATCTGTCTTTGCTAGGAGCGACAGGGCTCTTTCCGAGTGAGATAACACAGCGATGGGGGGTGTAATCCCATCTTAAAGGCTGCCGTTAATTAAGAGAGAGGAAAACAGACATGGCGACATTCTCTGGGCTCTGGGAGTGACTTCTGTGAGGTACGTGGAGGGCAAAGAACTGAGAGTAACAAAGATATAAGACACCTGCACTGTTTACAATAATAGATCAGACACTGGCCATGATACAGTGAGAAACATCATATTTTCACTATATTACAGTAAGAGAGATCATACCTCAGTTATGTTGCAGTAGGAGAGTTCAAACTAAAGCCATATTACAGTCAGAAAGATCAGACACTTACATGCTACAGTGACAGAGATCAGACTCCAGTCATGTTACAGTGACAGATATCAAACACTTGCACTGTTACAGTAACAAAAATCAGATACCGGTACTGTTCATTTAGAATTGTTCATTTGTCTGCATTGTTACAGTCAAAGATATGAGACATCCCGACAGTTGTAGTGAGAGAAATTACACTCTAGCTGTTACAACATTTTGGTATATTGCAATATATTCCTGATTGCATTAATATCTTTTAATTGTATTTACAATATATTCTTGGTCAGAACAACATATTTCTCTATATATTACAATGTATTTAAGTTCATATGGTCAATTTTTATGAGGTCAACAGGCTGTAGGGCAAGAGTAAACTAAACAGCGTGTGAAGGGTGAAAGAATGAGAGGGCTGGGAAACTGTAAGAGACCGCTTAATAAATAATAAATAGCTAAGAAGAACTGAGGGAAAGAGGAGAAAATAGCAATCAGAACAGAAGTGATTAAAAAGAGCAATTAACAGCTCTGTGACTGATAAACCAGCGAATCATTAATTACAGTAGTTTAACTGGTGGGTATGTGGTTAGGCTACTAACGTCCTTGTCTCTATTTCTCTCTGTCTTTCTCTCTCTAGCTACACTCATATTTCTTTTAATTCCCAAGTAATCCATCGGTTTCATTAATTCCTGCGGCTATATCTCTGCAGATGCAGACTGAGGAGTCTGGATGTGTTACATTTAGGCTGGACATGGCAGGGTGCTGTTGAGTTGGGGTTCATGGTGGGAAAGGGTGCTGTGTGTTCGTGTGTGTGTGTGTGTGTGTGTGTGTGTGTGTGTGTGTGTGTGTGTGTGTAAGGAGGGGGATATGTGATAGGCATATATATCCACAGGTAACACATCAGTGCTGCATTTACAGTACAATCTGCATGCCACTTTACAAATGTGACCAATACCAAGCATGTACCTTATTTCAAATCATTGCATATAAATTATTTGGGCTTAGTGGGTTATGTTTATAGCCATGCCTGAATAGCACCAGGGGAAAAACTATGAAGGGGTACTCTGCATTCCTGCTCAATCACGTGTCCCCCCATCTGTCTACAGCGTTGCACATGCAAGTCAAAATAAGTCCCTTTGACTCTCTGTATATAAATGAAAAATGGAAAATGCAGTCTTAAAATGGATTTAGTCTGGGGGGAATCTGAGAGAGTTGTATGGTTTTGATAAAAAGATGGAGAGGGCCAGGACGCTCTGTTTTTACTTCCTTAAAACATGCACACACTAGACAAAACACGCATTCACAAATATGTCTTGGAAAACAGAAATATCCACATGAAGAGTCCTTTTGGTGTTGAACCAATGATGGAGGAGAGTTAAAAAGATTTAACAGGAGAGACACATAACTGGCAAATTATGGGGGTAAGAGTGAGTTTGGATCTCTTTAACCAGGAGGAGCTAGAGGAGGGCAGAAAGAAGGAGTAGGGCGTCAGAGGGCGACAGAAAGGCGAGTGGGGCGCAGGATGAAAGTCAGTATGGCCTTTGAAATCAGTACACCTCCTAAGCAGAACCCCTCATCAGAGGGAGCTCCAGCCCACCGCTGTGAAGATACAAAGGGGGAGGAAACTGCATACGCTCCCTGTCCACACCCTTTCCACCCTCTCTATCACTCCCTCCACCTCAGGCACCTGCATATGAGCTGTGTCATTGGGAGTGAATGCAACTGGACACACAAACCCAATGGCTTCCAAAGTAACCCATGTTTGCATTGAAATCTATTTAGCCTTTTTTAGAACAGAGCTAGCTACATTAAGTGACCAAGCTGAATAGTAGGTGTATCCTAAAATCTGTTGTCTATTCAACTGTACAGAAATGTGATTGGTGCATAGACACATTTTCCTCTCATCCATCCAAAGTAAATGTTTATTTATTAATTGTAGCAATACTGAAGACAAAATGCTCTTGCCTTGAAGTAAATAAATCTATGTTGATTTTATGTCCTTAATGATTTAAAAACTGTTTCCCGTTGATAGCTGAATTAGAAACACAGTACTTTGCTCTTGGAACAGAGCTAAATTTGTGTGCAGACAATAAAACAACTATACTCTTTCATGTCATATAATTTATGTTTCTTCAATATTAAAAGTAATAAAGTATTTCACAAAGTTATAGGTATATCATTTCAAGATTTTATTTAGACCCAAAAAAACATCACAGGCAAGGCCAGAGCCATTATTCATAGGTTAAAAAAGGTTTCCAGAAGAAAAGCAAATGAATATTCCAGGCCAACACTGTTCCCACATCACTGCGGGCTTGTTGGCATGTCTCTATCTGCCTTATTCACAAAAGGAAAAGCATCTATGCAAAGTACCAGTGACACTCTAGCTGCAAGAGTATTGATATCCTGCCATGCCCTATCCCCACTTTTACAGCTGATATTGTATTCCCTCCCATCTCAAGTGCATAGTGAAAGTCATAGAGAGAGGATGGAGAATTAAGTGTAAAAAATCCTATCAATCATTCCTGCTAATGGGACCAGGTCTGTTGTTGAAGAAAGGAGGTCAGAATTTTAAAAATGTGGAACTTTGGACAATACCAAACCATGCCCACTGACCATCATCTGGATCACACACATACATACACACAGGCGCAAACACTCACTGCCCTCTCCTGACAGTTGATTAGATGTGTGTGTGTGTGTGTGTGTGTGTGTGTGTGTGTGTGTGTGTGTGTGTGTGTGTGTGTGTGTGTGTGTGTGTGTGTGACCAATGCTGTCACCATAAACCCCAATCTCTTACCTGTGCCTGTGACGGAGGGATTGGGGTTTATGGTGACAGCATTTTGATGTTCGCATGGCCATTTAAACGCATCCATATCTCCATATTCTTCCCTTGTCTTTTTACTGCTTCTGTTGTCCTGGCAGTCTGACAGCAGAAAAATGGGGGCTTTTAAGGGGCTTGGAGTGCACAGCAAGCTCTTTGCCATAGGATGAGCTTTGGAGAGAGGGTTCTGTTCCATTACAGAGATGAACAGGGAGAGAATATGGAGGCAGAGAGGGTGAATTACTCTGATTGTGCTGCTCTGTGTTGGGGACTGTAAGTCCCTTTGGATGCAAGCGTCTGCTATATGACGATAACGTAATGTAATGCAATTAGAGAGAAATGTAAAACGGACCTTTTAAAGGGTGTCTGGCCTGTGTGCCGCAGCCGTGCATTGGCACCTTGGCAATCTCATTCTAAGCAACGTAATGTCATGTAATAAAGAACACTTGTGAATGCAAAAAACTGGCAACCATAACTCAGTTGGTCTTTTCTCACACGCTAGCAGGAGCTTTGACTTTTGAGGGCTCAGTGGCTCTGCCTAGGACACAATTCCATGCAATAAAAAATAAAAAAATAGTATCATTCCAGAATAAGTACAGAGAAGTGCGGGGGTGAGTCTTCACATCTCTGTCCATCTTCTCTCAGGATGACTGCATATCTGTCCCTGTAGTCTGTTCTGGCCAATGGTGCTGCAGAGTGAAAGTTATCCCTGGAACCCATCACAGGGACAAGATCACACAACTTTCTGTGCTGTTGCATACCTTTGCCTCTTTCTCCTACTCTCGTATCTCCCTCCTTTCCTTTCTTTATTCAGTTCCACTTAACCCCCCATCCTCTATCTGCCCCAGGAGCACACTGGAGCAGTGAGATTATCCAACTGATAGCTCACTCTTGGTCATGTAAGGAGAAATGTTGCTGATTAGTCATGGGCATATTCCTCTGAGGCGGATGTTTCCCAGCTCTCTGCGTTGCAGCCTCCAGCAGAGTCTGCATTACTCATGCTTTCCTAGTCTGACAACACTGTGCCCTATGCTTAGATAATGTATGCAAAAAGGAAGTGAAATCAAAAGCTCCACACACTAGGCTTTTCTCATTAGAAAAGGGACAGGTGGGAAACAATCAATGCTCCTGCTTGCGGTACTTGAATTCTCAGTTCCTTTAACTGCACGGTTGTCACCAGATGTGTATGTAGGCTGGCTGAATGAGGCAGACCTGACCTGTGGATGATAATAGAGGTCTCACTGCACAGAGAGCGGGATAAAGGGAGGTAGAGGCAGAGATGATGAGGAAATGGACAGAGCAGCCTGAAAGAGTGAAAAATAAGCAGAAATGGAGAAGGATACAAACTGACCCAATGAGAGAGGGATTGATGATGAGGAGAAATGGAGAGAAAGGCAGAGAAGACAAAATGAGAGGAATGGAGAGAGGAAAAGAAAGAAAGCAATAGAGGAGATGTGATGGAGAGAGATGGTGAACAGGAGAAATAAATGGACAGATAGAAAGAGAGAGGGTTGAAGTGAAAGTGAAACAGAGAGATGGAGAGAGATACAGAACAGAAAGGAGAGCAGAGGGCAGTGATTACATTGGGAATCTGTGTTTTAAAATTAATGAAGAGAAAAATACTATAGGATAGCCTGCATTCAATCAGAGCAATGCTCTTTGCTATTAACATTTAGTAATAAATTAATTTTTCCTCTTTACTCACACAAAAGCATGCACTGGGATGTCACTGAAATGAATGAAAAAATGAGCAACAGAAAAAAAACATAATATATAGCTTTTGATAATATTGTTTTTCTTAAAACATTAATTTAGTGTAGATTATGTAGAGGATTATGCCTTCTACTCTCTCTCTCATGTTCACAAAATTTTATCATTCTCTCAGTCTCCCCATATGGCTTTATCTCTCCTCTTTTCTTTTGCTGACAAATGGAAGGCATAATAGACTTCCACCTCTGCTTTCCTCCTGTCCTGCTTCCTGTTGGAATTTGGGAAACAATGTGAGGGGGACTTGTAACCGTGGGACCCCCCTCACACCCCTAATTAACCTTCCCACCCCTAAGCTTTGCGTAATTGCCCCAGACACAACACTCTCTGTTTCCAGGGCAGGTCTAAGAGGGCAGAGTTCACAGAAAGGTTTGCGGGCACCGCAGGGTTGCCGTACGCTCGCACACCGAAGCCTGCGAGATTCTTACAAAATGCTACAGCACAGATCTGTGGCACAGACCCGGCTATGGTGGTACCTTCTCTCACTCCTGCAGTATTGCCAAAGATATCAAATTTCAACCTTTATGACACCGCGGTCACACAGCAATCATTTTTCGAGTGCTGCCACCCTGCGGAAAACAAAATACTGCCCACCCCACTTGTGAACCCCAGCCACGCGCTGCTCATGCCCTATCTGTCTGGAGTAACATACTGGAGCAGCAGGCTAATAACAGAACGTAGAGGGACAGAGTGAAATAACGATGATGATGTGAATATGAACACGCAGACGAATTAGCTTCTCCTTTCATGTGATGGACGACCTGTTCAAGCCATGAAACAATGACATCAGCGCTCAGGATTGCCAGCATCGGCCAACTTTGAAGTGTCCATTTCTGCATTTGAGTCATTTCATTGATGTGTCACGCAGCTTTCTGGTATGAGAAGTGGTGCAGGGGAACTCCTCAAGAGTGAGCAATCTAACCATAATCATCAACTTAGTCACTCACTGATGAGCTATCAGCATTTGATGGCTGAGTTCAAATGACTGTGGGATTGTTGGGGAGTTGGGGGTGGGGGCATCGTGGCTGTGTCAATGAGACATTTGTGGCACTTTGGGGGTTGTTTTAGCAACACGATTTTGGCAGGGGACACTGCGGACAAGGGCCCAGGGTCTGAGGGTTGGATTCAATGTGGACGGGGTCGTGTGAAAAACCCTTGGCATGCTGCTCGACCCCAGGAACGGCTGCCACTGTGTGACCTGGAAGTGATGATGTCAGCGGTTGGGGGCAAGGGAAGTCTACATTGGCAACATTCCATCCTTTTACTTTTCCTTCTCTCTTCATTCCTCTTTTTTTTACAAAGAGAGGGATCCCTCTTTTCTCCCTTGCTAAATGCTTGGAATCCCATAATAGATGTAAACATAATAGACAGTCATGTGATAATGTCATAATAGACAGTAAGCATAATATATAATGTGATTTAGGTCAGTTTGTGGTGAAAATGTGTAATGACAAGGATTTCTTTCTGATATTTGACAAATATAAATGATGCAGGCTTTCAATTACATTGTTGTCATTTATCAGACACTCTTTACCAGAGCAGCGTACATGGGTTACAATTTTACCATGTTATCCATTTATACAGCTGGATGTTTATTGAGGCAATTCTGGGTTAAATACTTTGCACAAGGGTACAGCAGCATTGCTCCAGGGAATCGAACTGGCAACATCTTGGTTATGAGCCCTGCTCCTTACCACTCTGCTACACTGATGCCCAATCAGCTGCCCGATGAGCAGCTCTTTTGTATATGTAATTGTATTCATCTGCAGGAAAACTTGTATATTTAAATGTATATTTTCATATATTTTTAAACGTGTATATAAGGAACATAAGGGATATTTTCATAACCTGCGACCAGGGCCCTCACCTATAAATTTATGGCTTTGGCACTTCAACTTTTTAAACTTAAACGTTTTAAACTAAAATTGTCATATTATTTCAGCGTCATACAATTTCAACACAAAGTAGACTAAAGGCAATAAGGCAGCGGGTAGGAAATCCACGCCACCTGTCATCACAAAAACGTGTCAGGCTCCGCTTGTTTGTGACGTTCAACCGCAAGAAAAACATGAATAAAGTGTCCCGCGGATGAACCTGCATCAGATAAAACGCTGTTGGGGAGTTTGAGTTACAGGTTAAATAAATAGTTGACGTTTGAATGGGAATCACCAATGGGGTTCACGTGAGTTAAATAAATCAGTGTAAAATTTATGTAAGTAACCTAATTTTCAGAGAAAACAAATGCAGGAATTTTAATTGGGCTTAATGGCGCTGGAGTCGTGGGGCAGCATGGGGGAAATTAAGCACGACGAATGGAAACACTAACGGTTTGTGTAGGTGAAGGGTAGAGATAGGGAGAGTGTGTCAGACAAAAAGAAAAGAACAGGAGAAGGCATGTCTAAAATAACTGACTAAAAAAACTTTACCTCCTTTAAATTTTCTATGCCATTTGTTGTACCACTTGCCATTGACAGTCACTGATAGATGCTGCAGTATGTTAAAACACAGTCAAATCAAATAAATGAGCACAGATAACACAAACAAATTAGGCATAACTCTTTCACCTTATGATTGATTCATTAATACAAACACAAATTTATTGATACAACTACATTGTATGAACTGAGCCTACAACCCCCTGCTGTTCCTTGACCTGGCTGATGAGCGTCAAAGCGCCACACCAGCAGCCTGACCGAGACCCATGGGATGCTGGGACAACTGTTCCACATTGTTTATAAGCTGTTTTTTAAAAAGCCATGGCTGCCAGATGTATTTAAATTAACCCCTCCACACAGCCTTCACAAGGCTTTTAAAAGCATGATGAGGTTGACTCTGCTTCAGAGAGATGTGACACCAGGATTTGAAAGGCAGGTATTTATGTATGTATGCAACTCCTAACAGAAAATTGAGTTTATGAAAACAGTGGCTGGGTTCCAATCAGATAGCGCTGTTTAACTGCAAGAGAAAATGGGGGGGTAGGGGTTAGAGGGAAGAATGGAGGTGGTTAGTGGATGGGGGCAGATTAAAGAGGGGGAAAAGAAAAAAAACACACAAAAGGGAGAAGGTAGGGTATGAGAAAGAGAGGAAGGGACTGGTGGGTCAGGACAGGAAAGTGCTCTGAACGCGTAAGCTCCATTACTGCTTCAAGGTATTGCTGTCCAGATGATTCTACCAAAAGACCATGATCATTTGGTAGCATTATGAACAGAGCACTATCATGGTTGTGTCAGAAGTAGATGAGCTTCAGAATGTTACAGTAGCTCCTCTGCACTAAAAGCCCAAAAAACCTTACATCCTCTCACCATGACCACTGAGGCACCTTGGTAACTCATCAGTGTCCTGTTGCTCCTATTAGAAATGGTCATATCAGCTGCAGCTTAAAAAGACTCTAGATAAGCTTTGTAAAAACACTGCATAGTCCTCACCCCTCTGTACAGTTCACACACTCCACAATGTCTGTTGGCATAATCTTCCAATCCTTTTCCACATGTGAATTTCAGTCAGTTTGTTCTGGCCCTGGCCACATCCAGTTCACAGGGTACAGGATCTTAGCAAGCTTCTTGGACAGCTCAGCACAAACTACCAGCAAAATAGTAGGCCTATATCAAAGGCAAATAGCAGGCCCAAATAAGTCTGCTTTCAAATGTTTCATAGCTTGGATAGTGGATGTGCAGTTGCTGGAACAATAACTACAGCTCTCGGTGTCTGTTATCCTGGCACAGCTGCTGTCACTATCATAACTAACAGCACTACACTACTGCAGCTCAACTAACAGCAAAAAGTTGTGAAAACCTTTCTCTTCTCTAAGTATGATTTCTTTCTGTTTTTCCATGTTTTACCATTAGCACTTTTCAATCTGTTTTTTTTTTTTTGAGTGGGGAGAGCTGCAGTGTTAAATCTGAAATAGCAACACCCCAGATCAACTATATCTCTCTTTTTAACACACCCTCCTCCCCCAATCCTGCAACTCCCATCACTCTGGGAGATGAGTGTGCATCACTGACTTCATTCCTCCCTGCCTCCTGCCCACTGGCTGCTTCAAACTCAGTTCCTTTTCCTTTGAAGTGGTGCATGCAGAATGGAGATTCTGTGCGTGTTAAATTTGCTGTGGCCTGCAGCATATCCATTACACTAGCTTTAAGAGTGCTGGGGAGAAGCAAGCCTTTTCCTTCTTAGCCAATTTCCGAGTGTTTTGAACTGGGGTAGCCATGAGCCATGTAATCTCTAAATTGCGCCTTTCGTCTGAATGCTGCTCTTCAAACTGGAGCTTTTGATATGCAATTATTTTGTTCATTACAAGTTAATTTTATTGTTATAGTTCACAAATGTGTCCCGGGGTCACAATGTTAGAAGTTTAAGAAAAAAGGAAAAAAGACAGAGGGAGAGGAACTGCAGAGTGAGAGTGGTGGATGGCACATGTGACAGTTCATATGTGCGTTTGAAAATTTGGCTGTCAGGGTCACTGTCTCACAGTACTGTGAGCTGAGTTTTGGTGATCTTGAATACACAGTTCTTTTTACTATGATTATTTTGTATTGTTTTTGTTGAATGTGATAAAGTTGTGCCCAGTGGATGTTTAGTTTCCTCAGCTCCATTTTGTTCAGTCTCTATTAACAGGTTAGTGTCTGAGACGGTTTGCATTGTACCAGAGAGAATTACATAGCTCAGTCTTGTATATGTTATCCAACTGTACAATTGGATATTTATTAAGGCAATCTGGGTACAATCCTTGACCAAAGGTACAACAGCAATGTCCTGCCTGGGAATCAATCAGGCAACTTGTGAGTTACGAGTTCTGATCCTTACCACTGGGCCTTTGCATGAGTGTTAGTGCATGTATGCCTGTATGTGTGCGTGTGTGTGTGTGCGTGCGTGAGTGCGTGCATGCATGTGTGTGTGTGTGTGAGAGAGAGAATCTGCATCTGTAATAACTTTACTAAAACAAGTTTTGATTGTGCCATGTTTACAAACAGCATTTTGACCTGACTGGATCTGAAACATCCCATTGGAGCAGGATAGTTAATCATAGACAGGCAAGCCTATTTATGTCACTGTATGCTAAATGAATTTGTGAATATATAAATAATTTAAGTACTGCTTTCCCCAATACTTTTCTGTTTCAACTGTTCATGACCGTAATACTGTAATATAATATTGTTTGAAAGTCTCTCAAATTTAACTCTGAGAAGAAAATGACAGAAGAAAAAGTAAGAGAAAAACATATCAACTATCAAGTTGCAGCAAATGTTTATTATTGTTTGGCTTTGCTGGTTGAAGCAGAGGGCCCCAACAGCTATGCATTACTCTCCTTTCCCATCGCTTTGTACTGTTGCTGTTAATTAACCTTCAATGAGGGATATGTGCATATGCTGAGGCGCACGCTCGTTAAATTTGTTTGATCCCGTTCCTTTTCATCTGTCTGGGGAGATACTGCCGTGTTTTATGCCGCTTTTATTTGTTTACTCCCGTGGTCGCTGTCATCAAACCCCTGTGTTTGACAGTGTGGATTTAATACCATCAGCGCTGGCTACAGGTTGTGGCATCATAATGGCAGCCTTCTAAGCTTCTGCAAGAACAAAAAAATGACAACAGGTTCAAAGGCACAAAAGGCAATGCATCTCTAAGCTTTTGAGTCCTCACAATTAATCCCTCTGTGTTTTTAACGCTTTTTTCTCTTTTTCTCCTGTGTCGTGTGTTGTCTTCTTCGTTTTCACAGGGCCCTTTGTCTAGCAAAATGTTACATCATTTTGATACAGGCACTCATTAGTCGTTCAATTTAATTAAAACAAGGCTATTCATATGAAAATGCGAGACTGATAGTGATTTTTTTTCCCTGGCAATAATCACCTACCTCTTGCAGCAACTTTTAATTAGAACCTCTCTTGATTGACGGGCAAGCTGGTTTGTTGAACGTGGACACACACATACATGTTTGATGACACACACGCACAGGTAGATAATTGTAGCTGAACCTGAACATTGAACTGTAACAGTACATCCATGCATTATAGGACACTAAAAAAGGGCCAAATGAAATGAAAACCATAAGGAAAAGTAGCCAAAGCATCTGTAGAAGACCTAATCAGCCTCTATCCCCTGCATGGCGGAGGCAGTTACCAGTTTGAGCAATGAAGAATCATGATGTGGCCTAGGCCCTCAGCCATCTGGCTTGCCTGCATTTTGCATTATGGGTTTTCTTTTACAACATATTTGATTGCAGTGATAGTTTTCAGTGTGCTTTAAAATACAAAACGAAAATGTAAGAAAGAAAGGTGTGTGAAAGAGGACAGTAAGGGAGGAGGGAGAAGGGAGTCGCACAAAATACAGAGAACCATCTCGTGGAGGAAGGTTAACATAGTGTCACTGTCACCGTTTTCATCAAGTGTACAGTATGAATTCACACAAATTAACCCCCCATCTGCTTTATTATTCCCCTGGCTATGTTACATATGAAAGTGACAGAAAATGAGACAGACAGTGAACATGTGTGTGTGTATGTGTGCGTGCGTGCATGTGAGTGTGTGTGCACATGTGTATGTGTGCGCGCAATGTGTGTGTATGGTATAAATAGGTAACTGCGGCGAGATCAAAGCGGCAGTGTTTTCTCGTTAATTCTGTTCCCAGCGCCCTCCCCTGTACTCTGGTTCTTCACTCAGTGCCAGCACAGGGTCAGTGTTCAGTGCGCGCTCCTACCTGCCCACCTGCTTCATTAT